GGAAGAATGACTTTCAGGTCCTAACAAAGAAAACTGAAAGTAAAATTAGGGCTACAGACTAGAAGTACCAAGTTCCAGGGGGAGAAGATATCTGACAACAGAAGGAAAAGGTGTAATAAATAGGCATATAGGACTACAAACATCACAGGGACAAATAAATAACTATACTAGGGTAGCTCTTAAGGGTATGTACAGTATAAATAACTGATGTTTATAATGACAACCCTGAGCCATCAAGAGTTAAAAATATGTTCAATATATTGTTTAAATGAGGAAATATGTATTTTATAAACTTTTGATAAAAATTCTTTAAATTTCTTTAAATTTTTAAAACTGAAGCTAAAAGCTTCAGTTACCGGGAAAACTCACATAAATAGAATACATTATTATTTAATGATAAAAGTAATTACTTATCATTATATAAATAATATTATTGGTATCATGCAAATTAGAATCAAAATTTCTAAATTGTTCAAATATTCAAGTGAAATTGCTCATACCTTCTTAAGTTTTAAAATGCAAAAAAAGGTTTAAAGGACTTTCACGTAATTTTTCCAAATATTATAATATCAAACAGTATAATGACATGCAAAATTCTTAGTATATCTAATAACACTTGATAAGCTACATATAGGACAGCATCTATTTCACACTTGAATGACTTTTTAGACCCCATTTTGCCATATATTTATGATTTAAACTCTCTAGATATAACAATAGACTATGAAAAAAATCCTATGCCTATGGGAATTTGGCTATTTTAAGAAATCACTGTATTGCAACAGTCTATTACACATACCTAAAAACCATACCAAATAAAAACTATGTAATTATGTGGAAGGTTAGTACTGATTATAAGAATTATTATCTCTAGGGTAAATAATCTGGTTTTTAAATGTTTTTAAATAATGAATCCTTACTTTTTAATAGTTTATAACTGTGCATTTACAGAATAAAACATAGCATCTACAAAGGGGCATTGTAGAATGCTAGGCTAATCTCTACGCATTTTACAAGAGATTTGTTGTTGTTGTTGTTATTTTTGAGTGAAATGAGTCAAAGTATTGAAACTCATTTTATCTGAGAACAGGTACAGTTTATGCAATACCAGCTTTCAAAGCCAGCCATTCTGTTTGGTTAACTCAAGTGGTTAGAACATGAGCATATAGGCCTCAAAGTCATAAGTTTAATCCCTGTACTCATTATTATTTCTGTATTGGAGTGAATGAATAAGATAATATCAATGCACGCTATAGTGGAAAACTAGAATTAACCTTGTATTCAATAGAGAAGGATATGTTTAAATATGAGTTTCTGTACATTTAATTCTTGACTTTGTAGACTGCAAAGTATTACAAAAAGTGAGCTGATGATGTTTATAATGCAATTATTTTTATCATTGACTTCCTAACTAAGGTTGTTAACTATTGTCACTTTTTTTTTTTTTTACAATTTGGGGTTTTCTTTATGTTTAAAGAACTGCGGCCTAGTACCTCGCGGCAGCCTTGGGTGCTGATATTTGGGAGATCAAGGTCTGGCTAAGATTTTGCTTCTATGCCTATAGGAGCTTTGAATGCAGCAAAGGCAGCATCTGGAGCCCCTAGCAAAGATTGTGTCACAGGAGACATACTTTGATTGACACATCAAGTGGCATGGCAGCTTCAAGAGGGGGATAAGCTATGCTCTCCTTGATCAAAACAGTTGTGATTTAAAGCCTTTGAGGAAACAAAGGGGGAATCAAATGGAAAAATGTGGAGGGGAAGAACCCAAATCAAACATTCTCCCAAATATACAAAACAAATAGGCTGCAAGAGAAGCTTTTAGAAATGGGAAAATCAAGCTACTGCCACCTTAGTGCATCCACTATAGCCTCCTAAAATCAAAGAGATTAGCTACATTTTGTTTTTACTGTGTAGCACATATTATGTATGACCTCATCTGGATGCAGATAAGAATGAGTTAATCATTCATTCCCATCCTCCTTAAATAATACCCAACAATTTCCCTTCCATACAGAAATATGCCAGGAATATAGTCTTGCTTCTTTAGAGAACATAACCAATAGCATATTTGCTCGGCCTTCAACCTCAAGACAGGACTGTCTGAATTAAAAGAAATGGTGTGCACCATTAGTACAGTCTTCCACAGTAATGAGATATTGTTCCTTCCTCATTAATATGTTCTTGGGACAGTGTATTTTCCCAAAATAAAGTCAGAGAACAGGGTCAGAGAAGGGTTACACTACCTATAGAATTATTCTGTGTACAAAAAATGGAAATGGGGAACATTCAATAATATTAATATATTTGAATGATTGCTTGATTCAAAGAGAATTATTCTACATTTGCTGATTTGTCTATAGAACTATATAAACTGTGACCTACAATATCATACACAGATGTATCAATATCATTTCATAAATGGAGGAACAAAATTACTTCATGAATTTATAATGTTTTACCCTTATCAACCAGCACGGATGTCTGAACTTGTCTTTCATAATACTAATGCTTTACACAATTGCTTAATGCTTTTTTTTTTCCCCAAAGGGTATTACAAGCGACCTACTAGAAAAAAAAAACAATCAAAATGTGTGATGTTCACTGGAATATAATTCTAAGCTACTGTGTATAAACAGATATATCTAGAGGTTGAGATGTAGAGGAATTCAAATCCTATAAAAACTCATCAAGTATTAAAGTAAGTGGTATTTTATATTACTACTTAAATTAGGGCTTGATAAGGATGCCCAAGCCAAGATCCTTGGCGTTTTCCTCTTATAATCTATAAAACTCAGAGCCTCAAATTATATGCTTTCCCAAGAACAATCATTTTAGAAGTGAAACAAAAGTTTTGGTTCAATGGTAACTGCCACTTATGCAATCACCAAATTCAGAGAAGCACATAGTGAAAGGGGTACTCAATGTGGTCCAGGAGTCAGAATTTTAGCCATGTTATTTACTAGCCATGTAACTTTGGGCATGTCACAACACCCTTCCTTTGGGGCTTCTGTTTCATCAACCACATAATGGACTAAAATCTCTCTGATTTTCCTTCCAGTCCTAAATTTTATGATCCTGGTTTTCTAGGAAATGTCTTATCCAATTTCTGACCTGTGATAGTATGGAAAGAGAAAGGTACACTCACTAAAAAGTTATTTTGCAATAATTAGATAGCATTCAAAAGGCCTAGTAATAATATTTTTGAAATGTTACTGTTTGCATAGAATAAGGACACCTTGGGAATGTAAGGGTTTTTTAAATATATTTTAATGGGATTATGGTCACAAGCCTTCCTGTTTGTCTTCTCTGCTTAATTACAGGGGGAGCTTAATCTTAAGAAGCATATAAATTCCCTGGAAATTGGATTTTTGTATAGGAATTTGACCCTATGAAAGAAACTAGGACTGAGCCAAGAGGTTAGAGGTGGGAGTGGGGATGAAGAGGGAAGAATGAGGAAGCATCTGTATGTGCTAGTAGGGGCTTGAAGAATACGTTTGATGTTTTATGTTTCTGAAAGAATGAACACAGTTGAGGTGGGTTTGGGGATGCACAAAGACCCCCTCCTTCAGTGGGCCACATAGCAAATGATGAATAAATAATTACATCATCAAATTTCTAAGTTGTTGGTGGGGAGTGAGGAAGAGTGCAGCTAAAGAAGAGAGGAGTGTATATTTCAACCTGGATGAAGGAAGGGGGAGGGGTATAATTATAGGAGAAGGTGGCATATATTTTAACTTTGTGTTAAATCAAAGCACAGAGTCAGTATACTTATTCATAAAAGACTATAAGAAAGTCAAACTATCAAATATTTAATGATTATTTGTAAAGTTATACCATTTTAAATATAGACATATTTTAATAATTATATCAGTAACTAAATATCTTATGAAGGAAAGAGTATTTTTTCTTTGTAAGACATTAATGACAGTAGCTTTCATCACAAATTAAATTTAAGAAAATACTGAGCAACTGAAAAAAATAAATTTTATCATACCTGTTAGGATTTATTTCTGACTCCAACTAAAATCATATAGTATCAAAAATCTAAATAGAAAATAAATAAAATAGAAACAAATCTATTGGAACACTAAAATGCAGTTTAGAGGTGTAGACTCTTAAAAGTTTTATGGGATTTTAGATAGATTCCTAAAACCATAGTGATATTCACCATATATTTTGTAACTTCCTGCTGTTTGCATAGACGTTGGAGAATTTTCATACGATGGTAGTATGTATTAAAAGACAATAAAAGAAGTATTGACTTCTCATTTAAAAAAATTTTACCCTGAGGGGAAAAATATATCATTACAATTTAAAGCATATCATAATTATTAAAATAAAAACATATCTAAAGTTACATGTAACAAACATATTTCTAGAAATCTGAAAGAAGAGTTGTTTAATTTCTTCATTTTAAAATTTTCCTTTTTATTGTTTGGGGTTTTACAGCTTGGGATGTATCTTGGGCTTTGTAAACAAATTATACTCTGTGATTGTGACAGTAGTTTCTAAAATTAGTTATGGCTGAAAGGAAAATGTCTTTATTAATAAGAAATAATTATAATTTAAATTAAATTAATATTGAGGCAAGATATTTTAGATTTTGCATTTTTAAATTTCTAGGCATCTGTTTCCTAATAATTTAAGACAAATCCTTTTTTTAATGAATAAATTGAAACAAGCTAGGAGATAATGTCTCATTGTTTTGTCTTACTCTGATGCAAATGATCTCTCAATGAGAGATAGCTTATAACTTTTCAGTTATAATATATTTGGAATATTTTCTTTGGTAAAAAATACATTCTCAAATTATTTAATAGGCCAATTTTCAAATAAGACTTCAATTATTTCTGAAATGTACCATAGAGGTGAAAGGAAATTAGTTTGCTTTTCCTTTAAGTTGCTGACCACAACATTTTGAAGCTTGCACCCTCTCCATTTAGTGCAATTTATTTTTCTACACATCTTTGTATCAAACAAGGTTATTTAGATGCTAACCTGGCATGCTACAACCTCTGGCCCGCCTTTCAGCCCCTCCAATGCAAGGGTCTCCAGGTGCAGTTTGGGTAGCTGCAGGGTGAAGTCATTCCTGCTTGCCGCAGTCCGTGACAGCGAGATCTGATCTCTGACCTAAAGGGAAAAAAACAGCATCAATGGTAATTCCCCTTCAGACACATTAACTGGGATGAACTGGGTCCCCTTGAGCCCACTGAGTGGACTTGCATTGATCGTTGGACCTGAAATCCATGAATAAATTTAGGACTAATTGATTTTTCGTTGCAAATAAATCTCTAATTCAGAGTGCTGGGGGAGAATGTTAAGAAGAAAAAGCATCTTCCTTCTGCCTCAAGTTGGGGGGCGGGGAGGAAAGACAAGGGGGAGAGTCACTTGGAGCTTTCTGATCAAGTGGTTCAGATTATTTTTTCTACAGTCTAACCTTCAAAAAACAACATACCTTCTTTTAAAAAAAAACCCACAAAGAATCAATGGCAGAAAAAATAAAAATAAATATAACAAAGGCATGTTCCCTAATTGCTATTTTTCTTACCAGAATATTTAATCTAGTTGGGATACTAACAATACTAACAAAATAATTAACAGTTGCTGTTCTTTGGAAAGCAGAACTTCATTAGAGTACAGGTCCAAGTATAAATGCAAGTATACGCAAAACAAAAGAAAAAGATCTTCCAAAAATAAGACCACAGTAAGCTTCTACTACCAGTTCCCCTTAAATGGTGCTTCTAGATAATTTTTATCAAGATACAATTTGATGTACAGTAATCAACTTAATCACACAATTTCTTAGTGATATAAACTAGAGAGAAAACCAGTAGTAATTGTACCAAATCTATGTAGTTTTATTTTAAGTATTCCAAAGATATATCTAAAAACACACAACAGATATGAGACGCTGCTTCTCTGGCCAATAATGCAACAACACGCAGTTGGTATCACACTGCCACCTTCTGGATAAATAGGAAATTGCTTTAATAACAAAATAACTGATGCAGTGAGAACCACAGAAACTCAAGTAAAATGCTCAGAAAAACAAACATACTAAATATTTTAGCTTTTAACTCCCAAACTGGCTAATAATTTTATTCACTGATGACATTACTTTTACTTAAGATCCCTGAGTTTCCGTTTATAGTCATAATTTAATTAATGTAGTTTTCACATTTAAAGCATATTTCCCCTTTCAAATACACATATTTAAAAAATATTTCATGCTGGTGGAGAAATTATAATAATTGATCTCTTTGATAACATATATTAACATATAAAGTTCCATATGTTATAGACAATTTAAAGCTATAAAGAAATGTACCTGATGAAATAGTTAAATACTGAGTAGAAAGATAATATAAATTATTTTTAAAATCCTATTACCAAAGAGAAATATCTTGTCACCCTTTTTATTTGTATAAGTTTAAACATACTACTGTTCATTTTCAGTAGGAATGATATAATCATTAAAAATTCTATATTTCATCCTGCTCAGGTTCATTGTAAAATTGCAGAAAATATTGCTGATTACACAGATGAACTACATAAATATCATACATATCACACATGAATATCCATAGTGTTCATCATATACCTCCACATACACAATACACACACACACACACACACACTGATTTCTTTAATTCCCTGTGTTAGTCTATAGGAATAGAAATCCATTTATTTCCCCAGTTGACCTGAAGAATTTTTGTCAATACCTGTGGCTTCCAAATATATGCACTATAATACAATTTTTATAATGGCATGGGTACAACATACACATAATACTATGCACTAGGTTCAGAATATACACTTGCCTGGAACAAACATTCTCCAGGGCCTTCTATCAATATGGACAGTTCTGTTAAACTTATAGAATGTAACACAAAAAAAATGATAATTTACAAATATATCTGATTTAAGTTTTACATTTTATACGTACATCACTTTCTTTGGCTTTTTTGTCACCAATATGCACACAGATAAGAGAAAACATTAATGTGGATTAAGGTACTAAGAATTTATCAACATCAAACCACTAGTGTTTTTCCTTCTACCCTTCTGAACCACAGTCAATAGATCTAAATATTTTACTGCACCCTGGCCAATTCATTGTTTGATGTTTAAAAACTCACCCAGAATCAAAGAAAATTTATTAAATTTGGGCCCCCAAATGAGATACTATTAGCTTTGAAAGTCAAGTTTAACTGCGATATTGATGATTCTCTTTTTTCTGTGACAAAATTCACCAGGGAAATCCTGGATGTCAAAGTATAAAAGCAGATTGCTAATACTGGCACACACACACACACACACACACACACGAAATGTATAATACACAATACATTTCAGGTATTTGTGGTCCTTCAATCAGATTAACATCAGGTCTCAAAACTTTATCTATGAAATATTTTGCATATTCTCTTCTTGAAAATTTTAATAATATTTAAATGATGCCATTGATACTGGAATTTTACATCACTTGATAATAAAATCAACACATTACAGTAGTATGATTATTTCTCCAACATTTCCTTTTTTACTAAAAAAAAAGTCACAAACTCATGAATTATAAATTTAAAGGAAATACATACAAAATGCTTACAGAATTCATCATTTTCTTATTATTGAGAATGATATGTTTTAAGTATTAATAATGCCAGTGGAATTATCAAGAAATAGAAATGATCAATCAAATTGATTCAAAGCAATAACCAATAAAACTATCTGTACTATTATATAAGGACCACCATATTTGTTTTTGTTTTTAAGTATGGTAAAAATGTAAGAGACTCTAAAAAGTTTTTCAAAAACATCATGGAAAAAGCTTTCAGAAAAACTCAGAAATAAGATTGATAATTGTTTTATTTTGAAAGAGGAAGGTAACATTTTAAGATTTTATAGAAATAAAGAAAGTGTATAATGATACAAAGCCCTAAAAACTGAGACAAGTTCAAATTTTATGTAGCTAAATTATACTTAGAAGGTAACATTAATTAAAACAGAAGAGAAAAGAGGAGGTCCCACAAATTATTTTCTATTATATAGATCACATTTTTACTGTTATGGAATTGATCAAAATGTATAAAGAATACAAGATCCGAGTTATGTTTATTATTTGACGGTTACCAAAAAAGCATTTGACTCAGTTGAGCAAAAAGCAACTTTAAAGACTCTCCTCCAACAAGGAATCCCTCATGCACACGTTAATGTCATACATGATAATTTGATAAATGCATGAAGATTTTATTCAATGATCACAAGGCAAAAAAATGGGAAATATATACTTGACAAAGGTTTCCTTTCAACACTGTCATGAAGAATATCTTGTTCAGGGCCTAAATCAGGGGTGGGTGGGTGGGTGGGTGGGTGTGGGTGTGGGTGTGGGTGTGGGTGTGTGTGTGTGTGTGTGTGTGTGTGTGTGTGTGTTAGACTCCTTTGGCAGTCCAGTGAAATCTGTGGACCACTTATGAGATTGTTTCAAAATAACCGAAGGAAATTCTAATATCCAATTAGAGGTTATTGAAAGTAAAGACACACTTTTTTCCTATTTAAGTTTACAAACCCACAAAAATTTATCATTGGACACCAAGTTAAGGACCTCTTTTCTAAAAGGATTCTCCCAAGATGATATTTTGCCGCTTAAAACAATCAGTAGAAGCAATACAGGAACCCTCGATAAGATCCATGATTAATCAAAAGAGATTAGCTTTGAGTAGTCACCAAACATAACAAGAATTAAAAGATAATGTTTAAAACAACCGGAAGATTTTTTTCAAAGAAGATCTATAGGATAATGTAGCTAATAATTGTACAGGATGAAGTGTGTAAATGAGATCATCAATCCATTGAAGTACTGAAATCTTAGATTAAAGAAAAAAGTGAAGAGGAAGAACAGCAAAGGAAAAGAAACAGGTGAATTTTATCTTATTGTGTTGAATTTGGGAAGTGAGAGGCAGGAAAAACTAAATTGTAAATATAAGCAAAGTTCTTTGTTGCTAAAAAAAAATTTGAAGCATGAGGGAAAGATCAACAAAATTAGTGTATTCTTCCAAAAATACTGATATATAGCTTATATCTGCTACAGGCTTATGTCTTTATGAATTATGAAGAGCTCTCTAATGCCCCAAACTAGTATGTAACCCAATATTTTTTGTTTCTATTGGCATCATTTACCCTATAATTGAGATGCTATGATCCTTTCTCTTCTAATTTATTTGCCAATAATAAATATAGAAAACTCTCGAAATTACATATATTTCTATTTTTAATTAATTTATTTTGATTTATCAACAATCACTTCCATATGCTTTTGAGTATAAAATTTTTCTCCCCCTCCCTCCCCAACACCTTCCCTAAGACAGCACACAATCTGATATAGGCTATACATATATATTCCTATTAAACATATTTTCACATTAGTGATGTTGTAAGTAAGAATTAGAACCAACAGGAGGAACCACCAGAAAGAGGAAACACAACTCAACAGAAGAAAGAAAAATAGCAAATAGTATGTTTCAATCTGCATTCAAACTCCATAGTTCTTTCTTTGGATATGGATAGCATTTTCCTTCACGAGGCCTTTGGAGATGTCTTAGATCCTTGAATTGCTGGGAAGGGTTAAGTTTATCAATATTAGTCATCACATAATGTGGCTGTTGTTGTGTACAACGTTTTCCTGGTTCTGCTCACTTCACTCAGCATCAGACCATATAAGTCTTTCCAGGTTTTGCTGAAGTCAGCCTGTTCATCATTTCTTATAGCACAATAGTATTCCATTACATTCATATATCACCACTTGTTCAGCCATTCCCCAATTGATGAGCTTGTGTTGCTGAGAAGGGTTAAGTCTTTCAATATTAGTCATCACACAATGTGGCTGTTACTATGTATGATGTTCTCCTGGCTCTGCTTACGTCACTCAGCATGAGATCATACAAGTCTTTCCAGGTGTTTCCTGAAGTCAGCCTGTTCATCATTTCTTATAGCACAACAGTATTCCATTACATTCATTACATTGTTCTCAATTTTCAATTCTTTGCCACCACAAAAAGAGCTGCTATAAATATTTTTGTACATGTGGGGTCCTTTTCTCATTTCATACATTTCTATTCGAAAGCAATGGC